ATCACTTCTGAAATTTGTTGTTCGAAGTACAGGACCACACTGTCTAGCACTCGAACTTTGTTGTTTGCACACTGATAGCATCAAGCATAAGATAAACTATTGTTTTGCAGTACCTCGGACAGGGAGGCAACTTCAACAATTTCTTATCGCAGGACCACTGCGACAAGTTTTGCTCGAGAAGTATGCAATTTAATGAATTTTCGGAGAAATGAACCCAAAACGTTCTTGCAATGCTGGCCAGTCACTGTTGAGCCTAAGTCACTTCACCACACACCCGATCACATCAGCTTTAAATTACTCCACTGCATTAACAAGCCCAAACACTGTTCTGCAGTGTTAGTCCTAAATCATTTCATCAAACTTACAAGCAACCCCAAGCTGCGATGCATCAAGCTTGTTGGTGTGTTCGTGCGTTTTTTGTGCTAAACTTGAAGCAGTCAAATCATTAACAGTAAGAATGAATGCTGCCTTACAGTTTAACAAGTAAACTCATTTTGGCTGTATTTTCGCCTTTTTACGGGTTTTTGCTGTGCAGCGCTATAACGCTGCTACATCCAGTAAAAAAGCATATTGTCGAGAGGCTGTGTGTGTTCGGAAAGCGAGTGCATTTTGTCATCCACTTTCATCTCAGCAACCAGGAAAGCTGGGAGGCTGAAACTTTGGGTATATGTTCCTACCCTGTGTGTCACACCCCGCTTCAAGATATTCCCCCACACACTCCTGGACCCCGCGTACGGACCCCCCAAAAAATATGCAAAATTCTTTAGTGGGAAACGATTTCTCGAACCAGGCAAGGTAGAAAACTGAAACTTTGCAAGGATATTCTATATACACGTGCGAACTAAAGATTTTAAACTCAGCTGTCGAGCACGCTTGTGAAGCGCGTATGACCACGTCAAATTTTCAACTTGGATACTATGCTAACTCGAAAACATGCCGGGGGAACAGTGGCTGAAGTTTTGTCAGGATTTCTGTCTCCCAAATGGGAAATAGGATATCTAAAATAAGTACCGATTTGCGCTTGCGCCACGATTTAGGCCACTTCAAAGATATTTGTAGCGAAGTGGATATTTCGCTTGTCAAAAAAGCTGCGAGGCTGAAAATTCGCTGGAATATTCTGCTCTCAGGTACAGCCTTAATTCTGCCTGGAGGTAGAATTCTTTGCAGGTAGGAGTGAGAAATACTCATCTTTAACGAAAAATCAGAAACGAGTGCGTTTTGGAGCGAACGACCACCCTCACCCAAATGTGTAAATAAACATTAGTTAATCTGCATACATGGATCTTTTGAAAAACGACCGCTTGAGCAATACTTCCACTTTTTAGTAAACTGGAAATTTGCATTTTTTCAAAAAATTCGCATTTGTCATTTTTTCATAAAGCGAGCATTTACCGAAACCCAGGCTGGAACGCACCAGGCGTGCCGGAGCGAATATGCGTTTTTGCACTTTTCGTGCTATAGTAAGATCGCAAGGAAACACAGTAACTAACCGTGTGACATACTGGCCCTCGAAGTTCGGGAAGTTAATTGTGCAACTGTATGGTATGTAACTTGTAGATGTCGACTTCAGTGACCCGACAAATGGAAAGTTGTTGGTTCGCAAAAAAGGCCGCTCCAGAGGAGTTAAATTTGAAATCTTTTGGTCACACATGAGTAGGGAACATTCTCTAAAAGTTTTAGCCTTCTAGCTTTTCCCGCTCCCGGGTTAATAATTTTTGCGCCAAAACATTCACATGCAGTGTATGTGGGTCTCGGGCGCCTCCAAACAACTGAGTTTGGCTGTACATGAGTAGAGAACATTTCCGTAAAATTCCAGCTTTCTAGCTTTTCCCGTTCCTTGGTTAGTAATTTTCGCGCCAAAACTTTCACGCGCTCGTACGCGGGGGCCAGACATGCTTGAGAGTTGATACCGCGGTCCTGGGATGGCACTTGGCTGGAGAATACACTGGCAAAATTTTAGCTTCAAAGCTTGCGTGGTTGGCGAGTTGAAATACCCGGACAGACGAACACACATACACACACAC